TAATGATGCTGATAACAATGATGATGATGATGATAGCTAATATGTACTGAGCACCTACTATGTGCCAAACACTGGGCTGAGCATTCTCTCATTTAATGCTCACAACACATCTTGGGCATAGGTATTGTCTTCATTTTACAGATGAGAAACGATTAAGTCATTTGTTCAAGGTCACTTAGTAAGTGGTGGAGCCAGGATTTAAACTGGCAGAGATGACGTTAAGAAGTTGCAAGACTGTGGAAACAGCATGAACAAATGCCCAGGGGTTTTTGGAAAGAATATGTGTTGAGGTATAGTGGAAGCAGAGCCACGAGCAAGGGATGGGAAATGAATGGCAAGGCAGGCAGGTGCTAGACTGTGTAGGACTTGAAGGTCAGCAGAAGGACTCTAGTCAGTTTAACAAGGCCATGGGGAGCCATTGCAGGGTGTGTTTGCATGAGCAGATCTACCCTTTAGGAAGATTAATCAGACAGCCATGTGGAGGATGGATAAGAGCTAAAGGAGGGACAGAGTTAGAGGTTATGCACAAATCCAGAACCTCGAGGCCACAACCGAGGCATCAGCAGCCATAGGAGAGGGAGGTGTGGATGCAGGAAGCACTGTGAAGCTACAGTCTCCAGACTTCTCTCTCAGCACCCTATCCCAGTTGTAACTCACCGACTCCCTGTGTGGGTTTGTCCAGCATCTGCCTCCCAGCTCACCGAATGCTGTGAGAGCCAGTACTGGGACTGCCTGTTCCCTGCCGCTGCCCAGCACCCAGAACAGTGCCTGGCAGAGAGTAGGTGCTCAAAGAATATGTGTAGTGTGAGTTAGTGAGTGAGTGAAGAATTTGCTGACTCTGGAGATTTCAGTGGAGGCAATTGGAACAAGGCATGCTGGAGGAAAAGACGGTCAAGTGGGGGATGCAGGAATGAGACTGATCTTTGGACAGATTGAATTTGAGATTATCCAAGTGACAATATCCAGCAGAGTCAAATGTGCAGGTTTGGGGAGAGAGAAAGAGTTATCTGTGGCTGAAGAAGGGCACTAAACCAACGCGGGTAGGAGAGATTCCCAGCGGAGACGGTGGGGGAGGGAGGGGCAGTGGGAGGGAGAGGAGAGGGAAAGATTGCTTGGAGAACATCTACATTTTGGAAAGGAGTCAGCCAAGGAGAGAGAGAAGACGTGTCTGACAAGTAGGATGAAGCCCGCAGAGTGCTAGGTCATGGAATTCAGGAGATTCAAGAAGAAGGCTGAGAAAAGCAGGTGAGGGGAGGGATGGAGGGGTGGAGGGTGGCAGTGGTGGGGTAGGGGGTCATCATCAGCATCTGATGTTGTGGAAAGATAGAGGAGGAGCGCTGTGAAACGCTCCTGGGTCTGGCGTTTTGGAGCCTGTGGCAGCTCTGACTAGGGCAATTTTGGGGGCAGTGCAGAGGCAGCAGATCTCTGATCTCACAGAGCTGGAGGGCTTAACTGGAAGGTGAAGAAGTGGAGACACCAAGTGGAGACTCCTCCATCATGAAGTTAGAGGGCAGAGATTAAGGGAACGGTGGGGTTCAGAGCAGGAGTTGGAGAAGGAAGGGGATAAAAGAGACCTATGGAGAAGAAATGGAAACCTGAGGAAGAGGAAGCGATGATGGGTCAAGGAGGAGGCTTAGGGAGAGAAAATCTGGAGCACAGGCAGAGGGATTGGCTTCAGGGGGAAGAAAGGGGACCTCTTCCTCGGGAGCTGGGAGGGGAGGTTGCAGGAGCTCACACCAGCTGGCATTAGTCATTTTGATAATGACAATAGCCACCATTTACTGAGCCCCTCATCATGTGCCAAACACATTCCAAGGATTATTTCTAACCCTTCAAAGTGGTATTATAATTCTCACTTTATAAAGAAGACCAAGATTCAGAGAGGTTACGTCAATTATTCACGTCAATTATTTACGTCATTATCACATAGCTAAAAAGTAGCAAATTCAGGATCCGAGTCAGATGTGCCGGACCCCCTAGCTCATGAGCCTTCCACTGCACCACATGAAGTGGGAAAGAACTCACTGCTGAGAGGGATGGGATTGCAGTAGATTAGGCCTTGAGAAATTGGTTAGGGGAGTCTCGACAGAGTGAACAAGAAATTGCTTAACAGCTGAGAGGACCATGTGGGGATCAGCAGCAGGACTTTGGGGTGGACCCAAGAAGCTCAGCTAAATAATCCCAGCAGGCTCTGAATAGGAGGCACCTGGAGCAACAGGGATGTAAGAGATGTAAGCACTCTTACATCTTGAGGACTCAGGCCTTGAGCAGAAGTACTTTGCTTATTGGGGGTGTTGGTAATCAGTGTTTGCTGAATGAATGCATGGAAGCAGAGAAATCTGGAGAAGGAGATGGTTTAGTGATAGAGAGATGGCATGTTGAGTTTGAGCAGTGCCCATGGGACATTCTGGGGGAGGTGTGCAAGAGGAAGGCAAATGTATTTGTTGACGTCTTTGTTGCCTATTTCCCACACACCCCAGAATGTAATCTGCATGAGGGCAGGACTTTGTCTGTCTTGCTCACTGGTATGTCCTCAGTGCCTAACACACTGCCTGACACATAGTAGGTGCTCAACTAATACTTGCTGGATGAATGAATATAGGAGTCTGGAGCCCAGATAAGACGTCTAGGTGTCATCAGTGTCAGTGGTCATTAAAACCCCTAGAAAGGATGAGTTTCCCCAAGGAAAGTTTAGTGTGGAAAGAAAGGCAGGGACTGAGGTAAGAGTTCTGGGGAACATGTTTATTGAAGAGACAAGAGGAAGAAAGGGAGCCAGCAAAGGAGACAGAGAGAGAGAGGGAGGGGGAGAGAGGAAGAGGAGGGGAGAGGAAGAAGCCGGAGAAGAGAGAGCAGTAGAAGATGGGGAAAAGCAAGGACTGAGTCACAGAACCAGGAGAGGAGAGGGCTTTGAGGAGGCAGTGGAGTGGCCAGAAGTTCAAATGCTGCAGAACTGCTCCAGCAGAAGCCCTGGGGAAAGGGCCCGGAGGATCATCTGGCCCAGCAGAGAGACTTGTCAGAGCAGCAAGTTAGGGACGAGGCTGGACCTAAAGCCCAGGCGCCCTGTGGACCAATTTGAAACATCTCAAATTAGAGTTCTGCATCCTCCACCACCACCTGGCAATTCGTTGAGCTGCACGTAAACACAAAAGAGGAACCCAATAGTTCCTGAAATCATTTGATTATTAAATGGTTCATTTCCTGTTCTTAGAAATGCAGTCTTTTTGCAATGTTTTGAGTCAAAGGAAAACATCTTGATTGACTTAGCTGAGCTGCCTTCAAACTCCGAAATCTGGGTCAGAGTGGGTTCTCCCGCATTTCCTGGAAATCCTGTTCCTTTTTGGCATGTCCTCATAAATATGCAGTCTGCTATAGCGAACATTAATGAGCATTGCTACACACCAGGCACTTGACCAGTATCTTCTCTTCTCCTTCAAACATCAAAACAAGGGTTGGCTTAATACTCCCCATTTGCAGGGAATAAACCGAAGCTTTCCCAGGGAGCCACAGCCAACGAGTACTGAAGCCAGGAGTGTCTGATGCCAAAGCCCCTGGGGATGCTTTTCTACTTCATCCTGACTTTCTCTCCTCAAAACAACCTCTCAGGTGTTCTGATCGTTTAGAAGTCCTCAAATAAACTATCGGAACCCATTTATGGAAAGATCTCAGTCTGCCGATATGTTTTCTCGTTTTGAAAGAAATGAGGAAAATCCGTCATCAACAAACATCCAGTGACCTTGAACTCAACCTAGTTGCAAGATCTGGCCTGGCTTCTCGGCCACCATTTCCCAGGACCGCCTTTTCCTCCTAGCAAATCATAAAGACCCCAAGGCTATGTGGGATGAACGGCCTTGGGAGCAGGCCTGGACTCAGTTGACCATCAAGCTACGTCACACTTTGGATAGCTCAGGGATGTCCCCATCCACACCTGAGAAGGGATTTGTGGTGGCTCTGCCTATGAGAGAACCAGTGAAACTGGTTAAAATAAAAAGGAAATCTCTAAGAGTTAGAGCATCGGGGCTCAAAGCCTCAGGGATGCGGAGAAGTGGGTAAGAAGGTAGCCCAGGGTGGCGGGAGGCTCCAGGCTCTCGGCCCTCCTCCTCCTCCCCCAACACTGGAACAGTGCCACGTTGATATATTTTGCATATTGAGATTCCCATTAAGATTTTATTTGGAGAAAATCTTCTGAGGCAAAAAAATAACAATAAAAATTAAATAAAAACTGAAAGTCGGTGATTTAGGGAGACGGGAAGGAGGACTAACATAAGCTGAGTGCTTCCAAGGCCAGAGCTTGGTACTGTAAAGGCCCTAAGCCCCAAGAAGATTATCATGTCTCCAACCTCCCACGTGTAATTCAAAATAAAAATCAATATTAAGCTATAAAACACAAAACTTACAGTACGCTGCAATAAAAATAACTGATTTCTCCCTTTATCTAATTTCGGAAGTCTGGATGTGTTCCTCTACGCTGGCTGTTCCCATTCCCCCAGCCCCCGCCTCTGGTTTGTGGCGGGGCGGGAGCACAGGCTCCTTCGCTCTAGGGGCTCATCCAGTGGCCCAGGCTGGATTCTCTCCAGTCTCCACAGTAGCCCTGGGAAAGGAGGCACTGCCATTTCTGCCTCAGAGAGGAGGAAACGGGGGCTCAGGGAGGTTCAGTAACGGGCTGAAGGTCACATGGTAAATAAGCAGCCAGGGTGGCATTAGAACCCAGCTCTGCCCGACTCCAATTCCAGGTTCTTTCTAACCCTCCTGGCTTCAACCCAATTAAAGCAATACGGTCAAATGAAGGTTTTAAAATGGGGATCACAAGCCGTTTGGCAGCACACAGGTACTGTTCAGGAAATTGCCCCCTTCCAGCTCCTTCCCCGCGGTACCACCTCACTGGGTCGTGGCCTCAGACTAACGTGCCGGTGCCTGAACCAGGGGGTGGCCGCCGTCTGTGTAACTCCATCGCCCTGCTTGTGCAGAGGCCCCTCCCACCTGACCCCCAACCTCTTTTGCAGGTTGCCACATCTCCCCGAGGCAGGCCTGCCGGGAGCGCTGCATGCAAATTCAGTTGCGGGCTAGGGCACGCTAACCGCAGTCGTAGGCATGGATTTTGTCATGAAGCAGGCCCTTGGAGGTGAGCCCCGCACCCCTCACCCGCAACTGGGGTTCCAACCCAGGTGGGAGGGGGCTCAGCGCACCAGGCCCTTCTATCCCCAGCCCTGGCCCGCCCTGACCCCGCCCTCTCCCTTCCCAACCCATCCCCCGCAGGGGCCACCAAGGACATGGGGAAGATGCTGGGGGGAGAGGAGGAGAAGGACCCGGACGCGCAGAAGAAGGAGGAGGAGCGGCAGGAGGCGCTGCGGCAGCAGGAGGAGGAGCGCAAGGCCAAGCACGCGCGCATGGAGGCCGAACGAGAGAAGGTCCGGCAGCAGATCCGAGACAAGGTCAGCACCGCCTGCCCTCGCCAGGGCGGGGCACGGGGGTAAAACGGCCCCCCAAACCCAAGCCTCGGGCTCCCCTGAGTCCCAGCTCTCACCTTAGACTAGCTCTCTCTCTAAGCCTCACTCTCCTCATCAGAAAAATGGGTGTGGCAGGAACACCTCCCTCAAGAATCGTTATGGGATTGAACACGATAATGCACATAGGAAGTGCTCCCTAATGTTTGCTGCTATGGTCCGCAATCTCATACCCGAAACCCCAGAGACCAAATATGTTTAGAATCCAGAAGTGGGGGCTTTTGGAAAGTACCGCAGTGCCCTGAGCACCTGTTACTGTTATCAACCACGTGTCTGGTCCCACCACTGCCATAGATCAAGGCTGTAAGTAGCCTTCCATCAGTTCCAGTCTGGTTTTGTCACCGAAATTTGGCCCCAAACATATGGGAGAACTTTCAGTTTTCAGATCTCAGGGGATTTCAAAGGTGCAGAGAAGTTATTATGAGCAAGTGTCGATTTTAAAAGAAAATCGACTGTCTCTCATTGAGCACCTACTGAGGACAGGCCCAGTCCTACAAGGAGGGTGTCCTTATCCCCACTTTGTGATGAGAGGACTGATGCTTGGGAGTTCTCATGAGCTGCCGCAGCCGAGTCTGCATGACCTTGAGGCCCAGTCCTCGTCGTTCACGCTCATCTCTGCCCTCCCCTCCCCAGTATGGGCTGAAGAAGAAGGAGGAGAAGGAGGCTGAGGAGAAGGCAGCCCTGGAGCAGCCCTGCGAGGGAAGCCTGACCCGGCCCAAGAAGGCCATCCCCGCGGGCTGCGGGGACGAGGAGGAGGAGGAGGAGGAGAGCATCCTGGACACGGTGCTCAAATATCTGCCTGGGCCGCTGCAGGACATGTTCAAGAAGTAACCAGCCTCCTGCCCCGCCCCCACTCCCCTTGTTACTTTTTTTTTTTTTTTTTTTTTTTTTTTTTTTTTTTTTTTTTTTTTTTTCAGTTAAGTCTCAGTTCTGAAGGGGAAAACCTCAGTTGGCCTCTGCTCCCCTTCCCTGGCCAGGGGCTTCTCCCCCTGAGCACTCCCTGACACCCCTTCATCCCAGGGATCCAGCCCTCACCTCACTCCCAAGTTGCTAGAAAAAGTGAAGACAGCTTTTCCCCAGAAGGGGGCATTGAACCCAGTGTGGGAGGCAAGGGGGGCCCCTCCAGAAGCCTCAAGTCCGTGCTAGTGTAGTAACCCCCCTACATTCCTTCATGTGCCCCACTGCCAGGAGGACCACCGTCCCCAGCCAGCCAAAGTAATGACACATTCCAGCCCTGCCCAGCATGCTGACCTTTGGCCTCTGACACCCAGGTCAGAGCAGGGGCGTTGAATGGCCTGGCTCTGAGGAAGGGAGTCAGGGTAAGCCTGCCCTGCAAGGGCCCTGCCCTGAGAGGCCCCACTGTATTCTGGCCGGGCCTGGGTCTGGGCAGGAGGCTGGGGCTCTTATTCTTCCATCCCCGTGATGACACCCAGCCCAGGAGCACCCCTCCCCCAGCCCCCACCAGAAGAGGTATAGCCCCTGCCAAGCCAGTCCCTCCAAACGGATCCTCTTTGGACTTTAACTCATCTGTGGAGGGTCCCCGGGTAGGGCAGCCCCTTGTTCCCCCCACTCCACTTAGGTCCTGGTGCCCCACTGCCAGGCTGGGCCCAGCTTGCCCAGCTGAGGGGCTGCCCAGGCCCCCCCAGAAAACACTCGGAGCCATTGGGCAGTGATGGCCCATGCCATGGGAGCCTCCCCTTGGTGCAGCCAAGCTGCCCCCATTTCTATCCACCCCTCTTCCCCACCCTGTCCTGTCCATGTGTTTCTAGAGCCCCATGCTCCCCAGGAGGACCCTACCTGGCCAAAGCCCCAAGCCTCTGGGGAGAAGCCAGTTCCCACTTAACAGAGGCCTCTGTCCATTCTTCTCATTGGCCAAGAACAAACTCTCCTCTGGGATGAGTGAGACTGGCATTTGTCCCTCACCCCCAAAGTTGTCAAGGCCTCCTGCTCAATTGGTTGTGTGAGAACTGGGGGGCCATGGAGCACATGAGAGAGGAAAGTGTGTGTCCATTCATGCACGAGTGTGTGTAGCAGAGACTGCATCAGCAATTGTGTGTCCAGAGAGTGTACATATATGTGTATGGTTAGAGTGTGTGTGTCTTGAGATCGTGTATCTGTGTTGGTCATCATATCCCTGTGTTAGAGACTGTGTATGCTAGGCAGCGTTGCATACGTGGGCTTGTGTAAGGTGGTGTGTATGAGTTGAGATTGTGTCATATGTGTGAGCTAACCATCTCACGTGTGTGTTAGAGCTGGCATGTGTTAGCTTGTATCTGCATGTGTTTTCAAAACAGCATGTGTGTCAGGAGTGACGGGTATGTGTTAGAGGTTGTAGAAGTGTGTATGTGAGAGAGTTGTCAGAAGTGCTGAGACTGTTGTGTGTGTGTGTGTCGGTCTGAAAAGGCAGTGGTATGCAGGGACGTGTGCTTGGGGAGAAAGAACATGAGTCAGATGCCCCCTCTCAGCCCCGAGACCATTGGTCACAGGTGGTCACATCCAACAGGAGACCTTGTCCTTGGCCTAGAGTCCCCCCGCCCTCGGGGGGTTCCTGCCTGAAGTCCTCAGAAGTCTGCTGTGACAGACCCAGGCAGTGCCCCAAGAAGCCATGCTGGCCCCCCGCCAGGGCCAACCCCAAAAGCAGGGGCCAGGGAGGGGGTGACTTGCCTGCCCTCAAAGCCCCTGCCCCATTGGCCCCAGTTTGCATTCTGCAGGTTTTCAATTTTAGTGGATTTATGCTTTTATTTCAGAGAGAGACAAGTGTCTCCTCTGTCCGTTTCCAATAGTTAAAGCCATATCAGTTAGACTGCAATACTTTAAAGATGAGACAACACAATCCATATGTTTAGGGAACCAGAAAAGTCCCCTGGTCTATCCCTTCTCTGGGGAGCAGGGCCTCAGCAGCGCCAGCTCCCTGGACTTGCCCTTCTCCCCCGCCCCATCCCCTCCCCGGTGCCCCTGTGTCCTGCCCCCCAGGGGGCCCATGTCCGTGTCTGTGATGGGGAGCCACCTCGCAGCCCTGTTGTCTGCTCGTCTGTTTGTGTCTGTTATCCTGGGCAGGATGGTCATTCTCTAGAGCCCTGGGGTCCTGGGACAGAGACAGGCAGGGCCCACTCTAGGGACCCCAGGCCTCCCCAGACCCTGTGTATGAGCCCCACCTGGAAACAGGAGTGGATCCCAAGTGTTCAGAAAGGTCTCCCCCTTGACAAGGGCTCACAGACCTTGAAGGTGGTGCCAGGGCACAGAGAGTGCCAGATGGGCAGCGGAGACCGAGGCCAGGGAGCTCCACATGATCAGGGGAACCTAGCCATACGATATATCCCAGGGGAGCCTGAGGGACCCCAGACCCTCAGAGGGCATCCCTGCTGGTCTTCACAGCCCCTCTGCACCCCCCAAGCGGGCTCAGGGCTTTTCCCATATAATAGTGCCCTCCAGGCTGGCTGGCTTAGTCTGGTGCAAGTCCCAGACTCTTCCCGACTTCCCCAGCTTGCTCTCAAGCAGCAGGACTGGAGGTCTTCCTGGAGATGGGAACAAGGGGGGAGTTTCTGCCTGGAGCATACCTGGCTCCAACTGCCAGGTGATCACTCTTGGGTCCAGGGGGACGCGATGACTGTCATTCCTGACACAGACCTGACTGTGGAGAGAAGCTAATGTGTGGCCCAGAGAGGATGTCGTGTGCAACACACTTAAGGGGGGCACAAAATATGTGTGGGATGCTTTAGCAGGGAAGGGATATTCACATGATGTACCTGGGGCAGGAGGAGTGTGTGGTCCACTGGATGGGAGGGAGGTGAGTGTGTCGTGCACAAATGGGGCAATGTGCACCTGACACACTTAGGAGGCAGGGGCAGGGAGGGAGTGGCCCCAGAATTCAGCCCCCGCACACACACAACGTATAAAGGAGACATCCCCGAGCTAGGGAAATAGGAAGGAGCAATCATTGTGCATGGGTAACAACAGAACAAAATGCAAGGGAGTGTGCACCGCCCAGTGTGGGCATGTGTGCCTGCAGGGAGGCCGCCGCCTGCTGTGTGCCTGCGAGCTCACCGCCAGAGTGAAGGGAGAAGGCCTCTCTGGATCTCCCGCGCTGGGCGCTGGCGACAGGCCGGGATTTCCACACGTGGACATCCTCTGTTCCAAGTCTAGAAGCTCCTAGAAGGTGTCCTTAACGGCAAAGCTGTGTGGGGTCTCCTCCAATGCAAGGAAGTCAAGAGACCCTCCCAGGTGTGTGTGTGGGAGAGAGAGAACGGGAAAGAGAGAGAGAAGGGGAAAGAGAGACAGAGAACAGAAGTGTTTCACCCCAGTCCCCCTCAGGTGGGGCAGCTGGTGGGCAAAGCAGCCCCCCCAAAGGCTTGTGGCTAGAGTGAAATGGGGCAGACCCCCAGCCCCAAGAGCCCCCGGCACCCAGCTGGCAGGGCTGTCTACCCCCACCCCTCAACTGCTCCATCTTTCTGGGGTCCTGCAGGCCCTTGACTAGACAGGGGGGCTGGGGGTCCGACTGGCTCAGATGAGGGGACATCTCCCAGGCCTGAGGACATGCCTCCCCCACACGTTCCCTGCGCCTGTTGCCCACCCTCTTCGCCGGGGAAAGAATGGGAGGTGCTCATGCAGGCCCTCGGGTGGGGCGGGGGTCCTAGTGAGACCCAGGTGAGGACGACCATCCTGCTCGTGCGGGGCAATCCCTTTCCCACATCTGTGCTGTGTCCTTGTTGCTCTGCTTCCTTTAAATGTGTCAGTGCCTGGGGGAGGGGAGGGATCCCCCTCACGCCCCCCGAACCTGACCAAAAGCCATGGCTGTTGCTCCCCCTTTGTATGACGCGATGCTAAGATGTACCAAACCAATCGTGACAACAAAGAGAAGACCATGTACAGCAGCTCTTGGTCTGCCTGTCCTCTTCTGTCCTTCAGCTCCACCACAGCTACATGGGGCCCAGCCGAGGAGAGGAGGCCAACCCACGGAATTCAGGAGGCCCCAGAAAACCTTCAGTTTTACCCTCGCTCCTGGCCAGGACACTGTGGAAATGACCCCAGAAATCAATCAAGGCTAGAGTGGCAGCTGGCTCCAGAGCTTCAGGCCCACCCACCCCCACCTGCCAAAGCCAACTGCACAACCCCATGAGCTGGTGGTCCAGCCCGGCCACAACACCCACACCCCGTCTCTGGCCACATTCCCCCCAAGTTCCTCAGGGCGTGGCATCTCGACACGCAGCCAAGTCACATGCATGAGCAAAGGTCTGCCATTGGTCATCCCACCAACATCCATCAAGTTCCTACTCTGCCAGGCAGCGCGCAGCAGGCTCGAGACACAGAGAGGGCACCACTCAGCGCTGGTCCTGACACAGACACTTCCCAGGCCTTGCTGAGGAGCCAGGACCAGACCAGAACCCCCTCCTCCCTCGGCTGCCCCCAGCCATTGCCCTGACTTAAGCTAGGCCTCATCTTCTCTCCGCTTAGCTAGGCACTTCCCACCGCCCACACACTGGTCTCCCAGCCTCTACCTCTTCCCTGCCGTCCTCTCCCTCACCCGAAAGACTCAATGTAACCACGTCACTCCCCTGCCCAACACCCTTCGATGACCTGCAGGATAACACCAAGACTGTCCAGATGGCCTTATGTGATATGGCCCAGCCTGCTAGGTCTGACCCACACCCAACTCTGCTCCAAGTGCCCCCGGTCCCCACACATACCATGCTGTTTCATGTTTGCATGTTCTGTCCCCTCTGCCTGGAACGAATGATACCCTCCCCTCCTGGTGCATCCTTCTAACTTTTCAAAGTTCGGCACAGATGTCACCTCCTGTGTGAAGCCCACCCCGACACAGCCCCCGGCCCCTGCCCACAGCAGTTTGTTGCTATGCTCACACGACACAGCACCAGGGCTGAGCGCTCAGACAGCACTGGGTTTGCTGGTGGGTTCCATCTGCCAGCAGAGTGGTCTTGAACGAGCCTCTTAACCCCTCTGAGTGTTTGCTCCCAAGTGAAATGGGACAGTAGCAATTGCTCTGACCTCTGCAGGTGTGAGGAGTAGATGGGGTCCTGCTCGCACACTCAGCACCGCATGCCAAGCATTCAGTGAACGGCACTCTGCAAATTCTGCTGTGATTTACATTCCTGAACGCTCTCTCTCGCTAACTCCTGAGCTCTGTGAGGGCAGGGCTGGCTGGAGCCCACTGCCTCCCAGCACCCACCACAGAGTCTCGCCTACAGTGAGTGGGTACTCAGGACCCCAGTGCTGACTCAGGGCCCAAGCAATCGGTCTCCATCTCATCTACACGGTGGCCATGGTCACTTTTCCTTCAGATCTCTGCACCATGGACAGTAGGGGGAGGGGAGGCAGAACCTGACCCCTCTCTCTTCTGTGCCATAACACCAGCCCTCCTGCCTGTTCTCCCAGATCTGCCCACGGCCCTGGGCTAGTGCACTATGAGCAGCAGGTCCCCCGGGCTCTGGCATTCGGGGAGCTCAGGGTGCAATGGGAGGAGTGAACCTGTGGAGAAGGAGCGCCCTCCAGGCAGAGGAGCTGGCATGAGCAGAGGCCTGGAGGAGACAAAAGTAGTCTGACACAGGAGGTGGGAGTGGGGAGGGAGAAGTGGGGGATATCTGCAGGAACTAATTGAGTTCTTGGTGAAAAGCCGAGAGGCTGGAGATGTCAACCAGGGTGCCAGGCAATGGAGCTTGGGCTCTACCTGCAGGCAATGGGGAGCCACTGAAGGCTCTTGAACAGAGGTGTGACATAGTGAGATGGGCAGACTGAGGAAGATCATTAGGGCTGTGAGGAGGATGAACTGGGAGTAAGAGGCTGGAGGCCAGGAGTCCAGGGAGGAGCTGGTGCAAGGTCAAGGTCAGAGATGGTGAGGCGTGACCTCCCGCAGTGGTGAAAGGACCAGGAGAAGTAGGCAGATTGGAGGGCTATATAGGAGGGCAAACTGGCAGGACTTGAGGACTGGATGTGGGGGGCATGGAGGAGGGAGAGGTCTAGGCCAGTGCCTGCGTCTCCATCTCCGGGGGGCTCCATTCTCCAAGATCAGGAACACTGGCGGGAGACAAGTTTGGAGGAAGATAATGAGTTTGGTTTAGGGCTTCGGGATTTGAGGCGCCTGGGGGGAGTCCAGTGGGCCATCTTCTCTCCACACTGGAGAAAGACAGGAGAAGCACAAACCATGCTTTGCCTGGGCTAGCCCCCAAATGGAGCGTGTCTTGACCATTTACTTCACCATAGGGATCAAAGCACAGGAAATCAAGACGCCTGGAGTGGGAAGAGGATTTAAAGTCAAATCCATCCTCCCACACAGCCCAGGAATCCCTTCTGTGCTGTCTTGAGTAGAGGGCACTCTGCTTGCATTCCCCACAGTGTGGGGGCGCTCATTACAGTCCCACAGGTCCCTTCTGACTCCTACAGCAAAAGCTGCCAGGAGGCAGGGGGTTAATGAAGCCTCCTCCAGTATCCCTTTAATTGACTGCAAAACCTTGCTTCCAGACCACTCGCTTAGCACGTGTAATTAATTGGGGCTTCTCGCCTGATCTGAGAGATGATTTGATACCCCCCAAGGACAATGTTTTCTCAGCTAGGATCCTCCAGCAGGAGCCGTCTCGACGCACCAGCCTCTCCACGG